TTACTCATTACAACAACCCAGCTTGGTCACAACAAAAACAAGAAACACTGAGATAATATAACGCAATTCACACTCGGTTGTCAACATGTGTTCTCACCAAAGTATGTTCCAGTGGGAATTAATGGTGCCGGAACTGGAGACCACTGATTAACTGGAACACACACACACGTGGTCAAGCCCTTTGTCAATCCACTGCTGTACGACACGCCGCTCGATGCGGTCACCATCCTGCACCGTGATGCGGCGATTCCGATTCCGGTATTTAAATGTCATAACTACTTGTGACAGAAATGTGGGTAATGGATTTGACCAAGTTTATTTGGTTGTGCACTCATTTCTTTTGCACCGATTTTTGTTTTTCGTTTGTTGCACTTTTCCCAGCACTTCCGATTAGTGCGGTTGGATACGTACGGTGCGAAATAATTTCAACATACATGTGTCATTAACTAAAGGACAGCTCCATTAAGTGCCGTTTCTTTTAGGGACGTACGTGCCACCCCCCTGACGGTTGTCGCCTGGGAAACAGATCATGGGTTCGATCCTGACCCTGATGCCTGTCTACTTGGGAGTCTGCATGTTCTCCCCGTGGTCGCGTGGATTTTTCTCCGGGTCCTCCGCTTCTTCCCTCCACATTTTGAATCAACATCACGCGTTTTAGAGTATTTGGCTGCTATAAATTTCCACATGACAAGCCACTTCGTTGAGCTACCATTTGTGATAGCCAGGTCACTTCTGAAAAAGAGCTACATAGCTCAGTGGGGCCTTACCTGGTAAAATTAAAATTATAGTTTTAATTTAAAGCTTTCGTGACTGCAGGGATTCATATTCTTGGTTCGTTCGGTAAAGTTATTATTATTTCCCTTCTACGTGACTTTACCAAAAGAACCAAGAATATTATAGTTTTAGTTTGAACGTGCCAATTTAATTACACTTCGCCCCCCAAAATATTATGCTGTCACTGCGGGCAATGTCACGGGAACGGTGCGGCCACTGGGCACGCCCAAAGGACTTGCCTTTTTGTTCCGCACAAGATTGCATTACATACATTTACGTGCGTTTTCTCATTTGGTTTAGCTTCAATCGGTAAAAAAAAAATCTCCCAAATGTATTCCAACGTCACAAGACAAAGACTCTGGATCTCTCCCAGAGCGGTGCAATCACCGTTTTTTTTGTTTGCAGAACGGCCCACCACGGAAGAGGATGCTACAGAACTAATTCCGAGATTCCTTCCGGTGACCTCGTGCGAACAAAGTAGTGGGGAGGGGCCAGCCTAGAAATAATCATCACCGTGGCAGTTAAAACCAAATTGGTTTCTCATCGGTGGTGTGTTCAATTGGGCAATTGTTAACGATCTGTCAACCGCGTCTCTCATGCAAACACTGCTGCCGCCAGTCTGTTGGCTACAGCAGTGACAATCTGTCGTTCAACGTAGGTTTCCGTTGAACAAAAAATAACACTACCGCGCACGTGTACAAACACGAAGTACGAAAGAAAATCAACAACGGCGAACAGCAGTAACATCCAACTCGCGTGTCTGATAATCAAACATGTTGGGGGAAAGACAAAATCAATGGCAGTTTCTCTTTCTCTCTCCCCAGTTTCGTTGTCACGCCACAAATCAAGAGCTTGCGATTACCGTAGTAACATTTCTCTGTATGTTTTAGATTACAATATATAACCTGTAATAAGTAATATAATTAATCTAGCGCTTACGATATACTGCTACGACATCTACAAAGTACATTTTTTTTAAATTCAAAGTTAATTCATAAAGTCAAGTTTATATCATGGTGGGCTTTGAGGTGGATTATGGGGGACCGAGGGACACTGGGGGGTGTGGGGATTGCAAGGGGGGTAGGGGGGTGGTGAGAATGCGGAAAAGGGTAGACAGACAGGATCAATAGTTACAGCCCAGGCATATAGAACGATCGTCATGCTAAACTCTCTTAAGATTTTCTTTTTAAACATCGTCCAACAATGATTTTTTTTTTACATTAAATCGTCAAGTCTCTTCTATTTCCACGGCCGTGTAAGCTGTAAAATATCTTTCTTTTCAAGTTTAGGATTTTTTGAAAGTTTTTTGTTTGTTTATACCCAGTCCTGTATAGCGTTATTTTTCAGTCGATTCGTTATTTCAGCAAAAAAAAAAGTGGTGTTAATGCAAATATCGAAGGCGGGGATCGATTCCGGCGTCGGTGAAAGGTGTTCGCTAGTGGTGTTCACGATACATCGAATGTATTGGTTCATTAGGATTCCTAAGCTCACGATAACAAATGTCCAATCACGTGTGTAAGAATTTATTTTTTGTTGTTGTTGCCGATTCGTGTTAAGAATGCTCCAGGTAACGGGTTCACGCCATTAGAGGCGCTGCCATCCACCGCGATGTAAAACAAAAAATGCATTCGTGAATCGAATCAGGACGAGCAGGTTTGGAAGCACGGGGTCGTAAAAATGACTTACACGACCTCGGCATTGTTCTATCAGAACCGATTTGTCATTTTCAAATAGTTTAGTAAAATATTAACAGAACAGTAGCAGGCTGAGAATGATTAACTTTCACCAAAAACCTTCATGAGCATTACCATCATGATTTTAAAAATACCGCCACAACCATGAAGGTTAGGTTTTTTGTTTGTTCCAGAACAGAGAGCAAAATAAGTGGAGAATTCATCATTGATTTGTTTTGTGTTGGGTCAGATCACACGAATAAACTACCAATGTGTGTCATGCACCCTCATCCACCCAACGCGGGCTGTAACAACGCTACGCTGCGGTGTGCAAGCAACAATAGCTGGGTGGGTAATCGATCGGTTTTCATCAGTAGACGAACCCAACACACGACCATATGCTCTCAAGCCTGGGCTTCTCCAACTGCTTACCAGTGGAAGGGGGGGGGGGGGTCCCTGAAACATATTAATAGTGCAGTTGTTTATTGACAGGACGAATAAATAAAAGAGCACTTCATTCACCAACGCTGGAACGGAGCCCCCCATAATCGATTCCAGCTTTTGCGCACCGCACAGTCATACGTATTAAACCGCAATCTTGAATACATCGTTTTAAAAAAAATGTTTACACGCGCAATATAAATGTTTTGTTTTGTAATTTAGCATGAGATCGCACTACTTCAAGTGACCCTCCAATCGGCGTGCAAAGAGTGGTCTGTAAACGATTGTTTTTGTTGTTGTCAAAATTCATTTCAAGTCAAAGATGGCATTTAAAAACACAGATGGGAAAACTTTTCTTTTTACACCCACACAGACCTAGACACGTCCCGGTACGGTGGAGCCACCTCCCCCGATTTAGGCATCTCTCTCAGCGCGAGCGAAAGCCCCACAACCCGCCCCCCACGCGCTCATTAAAGTGACAAAGCATTAAAAAAAATACCCAACATTCATTAGCGCCAGTCACCCCCGAGGCTCCGAATCACTTTTCGACGATGTAAATGCAATTGTGTTTGTGGTCACGTGGAATTGTGTGTGTGTGTGTATTATACACACACACACAAATAACCTTGTCATTGTGCGCGTGTCTCTATATCAACAACAACTATCACAGCCACTGCGATGACATATCCTACAATTAAGTGGCAGATTACTTCTACTATTTCTTATCTATTAGCGCCATCACAAACAAGTTTGAGACCTACGCCACAGATCAACGAACGCACATTTATAATCCAGCCGATGGAGAGAGCAATGTGGCTCCTACACATCTGTTGCAGAACTGCACCGTCTTACGGTGACCGTGTTACCCAACCGCACACGGCGCAAGGTTTGTGACGGCGGAGACACGGGAGACAGGAATGAGGCAAGGGTGGAAGAAGGGGGCCGAGCCGGGTTTAAAAATGCATCGCTCGTCACAACGGCTGGGATGTTGGAACTCGTCGCCCGTGATTGGTGGGGGACGAGCAAGCTGCAAGTTCCGTCGATCGATCGGAAACAAAATTCACGTGAATCGGGAAACGATTCGAGCGACAAACGGGATTAATTGTGAGAGCCCTAACACTAGCCTTTATGCACGCACACACAGTTGTCTGCTGTATTGCAGGCACGCACAGCGTTCGATAAACAAAACCGCACAACGGGAAGGTGACGCTTGCTTTGCTGATGAAGATCAAATTGAAGGCATGGAAAATAAAAACAAGATTCGACAATTCAAAGAGTTGGTCAAAATGTTTTGAGAACACGAATTTGAATGTTCGAATATACTTGAATCCAATTTAATGAAAATAATTATATCTGGCCCTCTCGTCGTACCACTGCTGGATGATGGCCTCCCCAAGCCGTGGTCGGTCGTGGGGGTTGTGCGACCATACTTCACCGCGCTGCTCAGTGCGAGTTGGTGAAGGAAGGGGGGCAGGTAGGTGGTACCTAGGATCGGTTTCAGATATCGCTCTTCACCGATGTTAGCCACGGCTGGGGAAATCCGAACTCGGGGTGCCGGATCCATCGCGCAGTGCCACGATCCACTTCGTCACCGCTCCACCCAAACTCCAACGAATTCACTTGTTTTGGCGCCACGGTGGCGAGATGTTAACTACCTTGCCTGGTATACAGGAGGTCGTGGGTTCGATTCTAACCCAGACACCTTGCTGTATGTTTGGAGTTTGCGGTTGCGTTGATTTTTCTCCGGGTCCTAAGATTTTTCCTTCCACATTTAGAATCAACTTCACGTGTTCAGAGTATTTGGCTCCTGCTATAAATGCCCACACGATAAGCCACTTCGATCAGCTATCATTTGTGGTCAAGGTCGCTTCTCAAAAAGAGGTAGCTAGCTCAATGGGCATTACCTGCTAAAATAAAAATACTCTTAGGTTTTTTTTTCCGGTAAAGTCACGTAGGTAAAAATTAAAATTAATAAAAAATAATAATAGAAATAAGTAAAATATATTTTTTTTATTAATAAAAGTAATAATAGGAATTATTATTAATAAAATAATTATTTTATTTTTACTTACAAATTTTTTTTTACCTATGTGACTTTACCGGAAAAAAAAACCTAAGAGTATGAATCCTTGCAGTCACGAAAGCTTCAAATCTAAAAATAGCTTCAAAAATAGCTTCAATAGTTTAGTTAAATGATCGATTCATTCGAGTTGGGGGTCAAGCCCGGCGTGGCCGGGTGACTCGAGAAGGCTGGGGGGGGGGGGGTTATACCAATCATCGCTGAAACAGCAGCAGTGCTGAGCCAACACTGAAGTAACCCAGCCCCATGTTCCATTTCCTAGCAGCTGCTCGTGGGCTTGGCCACGTCCTCACCAGGAGTCGTCGAGTTGGGTGGGTGGCATCAGCACGGTCGCCATGACGACACAACTCCTCCCCCGCCTCCTATCCAATCGCATGATAAATAAATAAGCCAAGTTTTCCACCTTCATTTGGTCTAAGCAGTCTCCGACGGCATTAATTGGTTGACGAGAGCCTGGGTGGAAAAATTGCCCCCCCTTGAAATATGGCACGAATATCAAATACGGTCTGGTCTGGTGCCCCCCCGGGCGGCCACGGAGGTCCCTCCCGGGGACACCGAGCCGTCTGTGGTGGAGTCATCACCGTAGTCGTCCCATGGGGTCGCCCCCGGGTGCAGATGTTCTCCGCCGTCAGTGATGGGGGGGAGGGTTCAAGAGCGGGGACCACCTTGTGGCTATGCAATCCGAATCACAATGTAAAATTTGAACTGGCATCTGCTGTTAATTCTCTTCTCGCGCTATGATGGCTTGAAAACTCACTCGAGATTAAAGACTCCGAATTCCCTTTAGAACTGCTTTTTGAGTTGAAGCTTGTTGTCCCCCTTCCCCAGCACCTAAGATTAGCACGGTTGGCTACGTACGGTGCGAAAGAAGTTCAACATACATGGCGGCAATACGTCGAGGAGCCGAATACCAATATCGAGGTCTGCTGCTAGCGACAACGAGAGGGCTTCAGCAGAGAGAGTTGGTGTCGTTTTGCTGTTCCTCCTTTTCCATCGAAGGAGCACAGGGACTGCAGTGTTTAGCAGTATGGGTCCACAGTTTGTGTTGCATGGCCACAATCGCACTACTGTGGCTTCTGTCTTATTAGGCTGAAAATATAATTGCTCTTCAAAACGCTTTGTTCTTAAAACATTCCAACTGCCTCTTTTGCACGTCCACAATGTTGCTGTTACTGACACCGTCGTCACAATGAAGTTTAAATCGCGAGCAGAGTTTAGGAGGGGATTACGGCGATGTTACACCAACACACAGGGGGTTGTATTCGATATTTCTCACTCGCAAGACGCATCTGTTATAATCTTTTTAAAAGAAGATTTTGATTTCCTTGGGCGTAAAGTGGAAACAAACATCACCCACGAACTACTCGCAAGTGAAATGCGGTCAACGCACATGATCTGTGCACATTCATCACCAAGGTGACCTGACATTCGCCAAAGCGGAGTTTCTCAAAATCACCATCAACGTGCCCACAACCACCGCTACCAACCCCAACTCCTGCAGTAACAGCTTTCGGCCATCACCAACCATCAGGAGCGTTCAGCGTGCAATGGCTTACTTTGCATATGAATTAAAATAAATTTGGTAATTGCGAAGAGGCAGAGGCGTGGTGGGGTGTGCGTATTGTTGAGAGGACTGGAGTTGAGAAACGCTGCGCTGAGACAACCTAAAAGTGAGCCGCACGGAGCGGCACGGAGGATGGGATGTGCCAGCTCACCGAGCGTGAAACGTTCCACCCGTCATCCCGCGACCAACATCGCCGGCCGCGCGCACGCGTTACGCTCTGCAGCCGCAGAGTGCGTTCATTAGCGGCACGGTTGCCATTCGGATATCCGACAAAGAAGTGAAACCCCATCAGAGAACCGCCCCCAGAAGCGGATGTCACAGAGCTACCCACGCGTTCTGGCTACCGAGAGTAATGTTCGTTACGTGCCGGTCAAACTGGCGTTTTTAATTCTCCGAGGCGAGCTGTGGCACAATTAAGCGCAGAATCACATTTAACGCGATGTGCAAGTTGCGTGTCATCATTGGTGAACGGGCTGAGACCACCAACTCGCCGCACTTGAGAACCCAGTTTTAGTCGCAGGCAACCTCGCCTGGATTCAAATTCATAAGTTCAGGGGTGCCAGCTCAGTGGCCTTGACCTCTGAGCCACCAGGGGCCACCTTGCATTGGTGGACTTTTAAGCAACGGGGGCCACGATTATGACGACGACGTGTTTGAAATGCCAAACTACTGGAAAAATAACACGTGTAGTACTTTATGATGCGGTTACAGCCCTACAAGGTTTGAAAGTTTTGTTCTCAATCTCATCTTGAGGGTTCATTCCCTTCACAAGAATGGGCCCTCTCCGGCTAGGGCACTCTACGCTCTGCCCACTGGCAGACAATAATTTTCTTTAAAAAATTATTCGGCCATCGCATTTCTCTCAAGCAAAACCTGAGCGCCAGTGATCATTTCTCGCAGAGACTCGGTGGTGGAGGCTTTCCTGGCAGACTTCTGGGCGATCCATCAGCAGATTACCCCCGTTAAAACAATAATTACGGAGAAAACAACCGCATTTTTTCAAAGCATGTACACATTCCTCGCACCAATCTGTCAATGCTCTCCCGCTATTAAGATACGGAGTTGTTGCTTTCACGATATGCGGTCAAGCTGTTGAGAAGCAGGCGAGACGGTCAATTACAAACCAGTAGGGTATATACAAATGAATCGCCCTGTATTTAAAACTGAACGCGACTACTGTGACAGACGAGACGGGTTTAGGCGACATTAATTATCACCAACAGTGGCACCACCATCGGGGTGGGTGGGCGGAGAAAAGTGGGGGTGGGTTATGGTTGAGGCTACAGCGGTCGTTACGTGTAAAGCGTACAATATTCACCATGGGATTTTGGTAAAATGTTTCGCCGAGCCGGCTTCGGGCTGTTAAGAGGACACGCGAGCGTGGATGCTAGCGTGCTCACTCTCGCTACCTGCATTGCACACATTGGCAAGGTCAGACATTCTGCGTGTTGTCAGTGAAAACTTACATTTATGTTCAACATTTTTTTATAAACTGGCCTCTTGTCTTTTTACCTCCATTTTATTTTTGCAAAACAGCCACTGCCCTATCTTCACCACACCCTAGAAAAATGCGAACGGGTAAATTACCAAAATAAAATCAGTTTACAATCAGGGGTTCAAAAAACTTCTCAAATGCCCTTTTCTGTCCAATGCAAAACGCATTTCCAGAACTTCCCTTCAATCAGGATGTGGGGGAGGGGGGGTGGGGGTACCTCCTGAATTCATTACCAAGAGCCAACAAAAGGTTTTGGCAACTCGTGGGCCAGGCACACACCAAAAGTGTATTCGCCATCCAGACATTTCTGAGTCTGAAACGGCCTAAAGAACGTACGTTTCTCCATAAGAGCGCCTGCTGGAATTCCCTTGCGAGGTTCGTTAAAGTAACCAGGAGCCAGCCAGTTTGGTCGTGGCATTCTCTCCGGGTGTACGATTTTGGCAATGCCGCAACAACCAAAAAAAACAACCTGCCCTCGCGTGTTGGCATTGTGGATACACGAGAGCGGCGGCGGCTACGATTTTGGCACAATAATTTAGAGTCGAATTAAACGGCGGAGGTGCGGGAGAAAACAAAGCTGATCAACGCTGCAGGTAATCAAATAGAGTAGTTATTTATCACCATGGCACCAGCACCACCCACCAAGCCGCCACTGCAAACACTGTTGGCCAACCTGCGATGAATGCCGTACGTCCTCCGTACAGAAAATATTTTCAGCGTGTAACGTACGGCAGTCTCGAAAGGAAATAAAGTAAGCACCTGATTGCAATGTGTTTTCCTATGGCCATTTATAATCGTTCTGGGACTTCATTCAAACTCACGATTTCTGTGACCTCCGTGCCAATCGTAGCCATCCCCACCGGTGATGGCAGAGCTGCCGAGATCGTTAATTAAAAGCGGTATATGCTACGAAATCCAAGCCACCTAACGACCAATGGGCCACGTGTTTCCAAACAGCTCCTAGTTAGTGCCGATTGGCTGTGAAACACCCGAGGCTCCCGCATTAGCGGTGTGTACCTGCCCGCCGTGGGTTTTCGTCCACATCTCCGATGGGTGTTTGGGTTTTTAGCGCCGAGTGTTGTCTGGCGCGACGTTCGAAGTTTTGCTCCACGTGCAAGGGAGCTTCTTCTGCTATAAAGGGCCATTGCCCTACAAGTTATTACATTTATCTTTTTCCGTTGAGGGCAGCGTTACTGACGAACGAACGTGTTCTGTTTTTTTTTCTTCTATGCTTGTGTGCTCACTTGGCAATGCAGTATGACGAAAAAAAAATTTGCTGCTTAATTCAAGAACCGTATCTCACGGCACGCGGAACGAAACGTCGGACGTCGTGCCCAACGACACGAGGTACAAACCGAAGATACAATCGGAGAGCTGTACGGGGTGGGGGCGGGGAAGACGCTTAACGTCCAAAGGGATGAAATGTTAGGCATGGTGGCAGAAAAAAACTACTTTCAATTCTAACTTGAAATGTATCGCATAGCTTGTTATCTCAACACTGGAACATTGAGTATTTCAGTTCAAATACTAATAACACCTCTGGACATGTATGCTGCTTTCAGTCTTTTTTTAGTGCTTAACAATTGTAATAACAATAAGAGCAATATCATAATAGTAGTATAACAGTCTGAATAAAATAAACACAAGGGATATCCGACAATAGAAAATATATATTACCAAAAGCCGTCCTATTAAACTGTACTGTACTTAGCGTCGCATCGAGGAAGGTTTCAGCTTTAAGTTTACAAAACATTGGTACGTAGATATTGTTTTCAATTTTCCAGGAGAAGGTCCTCCAGCAGTCCTGGAAATCAGCCCACCACACCGGACGGAAGTGGTGGCCACATCTCAGCGTAAACCACAGGGCAGTGTGCTCGCATCGTTACATTTTAATGGCCAAGGTATCAAAACTCCACTCAATGGGAGGGCGGTCACTCCTCTGCGACTGACCTCTCCGTCAGCAACTATCTCCGCTTGAGCGTCCGCATTTCAGATTCCCTTCCCCTGTTGCTTACGTCCAAGCTTAACATTTTATCCTTCTGCACTGACCATTGACCAATGGATCTAGTCCCTCCAACGGGTGTCTACTAAGTCTCACACTTGCCACGTCACCACCTGCTGTTCCTCACTGCTCCGCATGTGACCCATCAACCTGCTGCCTGCCCAGCAGGACGACGGGTCCAGAACGGACACTCCCTTCGTCGCGTATCCCCCACCCCCCAACGCGCCCAAGTCCAATAAACACAAAACATTTGTAACCAATGAGAATAGTTATAAAAATAATTTTAAAAAGCTGGAACCTTTCTCGACGGCTACGGAAAGTCGAGTTTCTAACACTGTCTGAAGACGGACGATGACGCATTTGCTCCGAACTAGGCAGGTGCTTTTTACACACGCAAGCACTTGTTTGAAGCAAAAAAAACGAACAAACTAAAACTAAAATAAACTTTTAAAAAAACCGACGATATTTTTACGACTTAAATGCGAGATTCGAAATTAGGCCAAGGCCCCTAGGACAACAAAAAATTTGAATAAAACAATGCGAACTCCTTGAAAGCGTTCATGTCCACACACATGTTTTTAAGTAGCGCATTCATAAAATGATATACCTTTAGTCAACTTGAAGATGTGCAATGTTTTTTTTTGCTGCCTCGTGCTGGAATATGAAGCAGACCATTACATACCAATATAAAATAATATAATAATCAAGCATCGTGTCAATTATACAACCCAAATTACCCAAACACCACACATTGTGCAAACACATTTAAGCGGATAAATGTATATTTTCATGTTCTTTTTTTGTTTTCTATATATATGTAAAAACACTTTTATGTTTTCCTGTCCTCCCATAAATCTGTTTGCAAATAGCGTTGTCAACGATCCGCGTGGGCGAGTGGGTGGATGGAAGTTTTTTTTCGCATTAAAATACCCATTATTTTTGTGTATATATATAGCGACTGCTAAAATAGTAACGCGCTATTAATAAAGTAACGTTTCCGTGTACTGCCGCAGTGTCGACTCATCCGTGTGACACATGGAGGAACGTCTCGCGTGTAAATTAACGACAGAAACAACACGGGAGCCGGAGGGAGGGGTTGGTTTTGTTCACGGTGGAATCTGTTGACAACGGCGGACAAGGGAGGGGGAGGCACTTCAGAAAAAAAATATCCCAACTTTTTTTTCGTGATATTTTTTCGCGACGGCTTCCATATTTTTATTTTCCCCGTGCTTTTTTTTCTTCTGTGATTCAGTCGAAAATAGCAAAACCACGCCCGCCCCCCCCGCACAAAAAAAGCAGAAGTTTCCTACCATCAGTCTGTGCTGTGCCATGCGATGAGAGTCAATCTCGCTTCTGCGGGCACACGCGCTTATCGGCTCATGTCAGAATAAAAACTGTTCCTTTACAAAGAAAAAATGTTTTCTCTCCTCCTTGAACCGGCACCCATCTTTAGAAACACACGCGCACGCAAAAAACACAAATGATGCGTGTTTAGTTAACGACGTACCACAATCTTAAAATTAGCTGGAACAGGAAAAAGCCACCAATTTCTTTATATGCCAGCATTATTTATATATGTTTCTATATTTTGATCAGATGTGTAAAAGTCCGCACAACAAATAATCTTGATGTGTTTTTACTACAACTCTGAGAATGACAGATTTCCATCGTTTTTATCTTTTGAGTTTTGGAAAACTTCATATATGACCCTTAAAAATGGTAAGCCTGCCCTGGTTTGTCTTTAGGTTCAATGCGAGGGCAATCATTGATAGTAATGACCGCAGACAACTTTGTATTACCATGACAAAGGATCACAGAGTTCTATTTAGCCAATGAAAATGTCGTTTTTGTTTTAAACAGTATATTTCATAAAGGTATAAGTGGTCTGTAGAATACACAACGTTTGGCAGTTACGTGACCTCTGTCTGCGACCCGATTGGAAGTTTTCATTCCTGTTGCCAAATCATATTTGACAATATTTGGGTAATAGGATCCTCCAATAGCACCCTTCACATCACCCTTTTGTCGTTCCACTGGTGGATGAGGGCCTCCCCATGCGGTGTGGGTTATCTAACCATATTTCCTGGGTGGTTTCAGTGTGGTATGGTGAAGGCGGGAGAGCATAAACATGGCAGCATAGAAGTACAATACAACAATGGATGTTGCAGGACTGACCACGTGTACATTTACCACGTAACATTGTGTGGCCTTAAAAAGAAAACAATATGTAAATAGGTGACTTTCCTAATAATAATAATGCAATTTGTAACGTGCGCAAATTTGCGGACGGAATGGCCGCAACTCAGAGGTGCGGAGCCAAGCTCAGAGTCACTCGAAAGTCAGGTTGTAGAGGTGAGTCTTTTAAGTGTCTCTTGAAGGCGACGATGGAGGTGGATGCTGCTAATGTTCAGAGGGGATTGCGTTCCAGACTGTGGGGGCAGCTACAGAGAAGCAGCCCATAGCCGTGACAGTCCTGGATCTTCATATGTTACCAAAACGATTGAGACAACCGAAACACTTTGAATAATATTTTGGTGATCATCACAAATGGCAACGCAAAGTTGTTGGTACACGTTCTGAATGTGGAAAGGTTGCGCTGTAGACACAACGTGCGTATGCCATGATCTTCAACCCCCCAAAAAAACCTTGGGTTTGACATTAGTTTCGGTTTGATGCATGTTTCCACTGCACCAGAATAATATGTAAACTGCAGAATTCTTTTGGACGATGGTGAGTCACTGATTAGTAGCTGGCATCGCATGCACAGATGGTATGTAACAAACTGTGTAGCATTAGCATACATATGATCATTGATTATAACTGCCAAACAAGATAAGATTATTGCTGGCGGAACAAGTAGGCAGCATAGTTCGACGTAAATATCAGTCCCTTGTGCCACCTGGCCACTTCTGATGAGATGAGAGCGTCAAATCAATAGGTCACCGAAACTATAAGCTTCACCAGAAAGAGAATTCTCAGGTAGCGGAAGTGATCCAACCAATGCCCACGAGTCTGTCATCTTGTTTGCGATGTCGACTCTGAGCGACGGCTCATCACCCGGCACCCACCTGCACCGAGACGCTCCGCCATCACAGCTTGCCGGAGGCCTTGCTAAGCGGCAGATTCGAGACGTTTTCATAGAGGCCAAGTCGCGCAGAGTCTTGGCTCCTGCGGCCGTTGCAAACGCAATGGGCGGGGAGGGGGGAAATCAGATTACAACACGGTGCGGCAGGACATGTATGAAATGAAGCGTCTTGGAAGGAAAAGCGTTGGGAGAGCGCGTACATTTGTGAAGCTCCACAAAAATCTCGCCAAACTGCCGGGTCCGTCAGGAGATGGCAGTTTGTAGACCTCGCTGCATAGCCATTTTTGAGTTGTCCTCTCCCACTTATGGGGTTTTCTCTGGCTACATTAGCTTTAACATGTAAGAACACTACATTTAAACACGTAGGCTTTCACAATTAATATTTTGGTTGTAACTACCAGCGAAACGTCGTAACGAACTGATAAACATCGTGCGTTTCTCTCCAACAACACTACCAGTGCTTCATCATTAGACCTCCTTTGCCAGTACCAAAATATAATAATAGGGTTTTTTCCCTTTTTTGGCAAGAAAACTGAAACCTTTTTACAAGGATTCATGTCTGCATTAACCACAATATTTGCAGTCAAACAAAAAACACACTGATAATATATGCATTGTCCTTGAAACTGATTGGTCCACACCAAGGGACGGCTTTCTTTTGAGCCTCGTCTCAATTGGTGCTCGACCAGGTGACGCCAAAAGGCGTACAGCTCAAAGAAAATGCACTACCAAAGTAATGAGGGCTCGGGGTAAGCATCTACATCATTAGACCTCCTTTGCATATATTATCAGTGTGTTTTATGTTTGCATTTTGACTGCAAGTATTGTGGTTAATGCAGACAGGAATCCTCGTAAAAAGGTTTCAGTTTTGTTGCCAGAAAAAAGGGGAAAAACCCCTATTATTATTACTACCAGTGCTGAAGCAGTAACAAAATGGCACGCTTGTTCACATGACGACTTCATGAATTGGCCGTGTCTGGTGGAGGAGGCTATACGACACGCATTTTACTTCCGTGATTTTACCCAAAGAAAAAAAATCTATTACGAATCAAGAAAAAACACCATTTAAAAAAAGGATTTGTCCAAACACCCCAATGCAGGACCCTCCTGATGAGAGTGCGGAGCGTTCCCTATGTAGAGGTGTAGTGGGTGACATCACGTCACGAGCGCCCTCGGAGAGAGTGGCGTCACGGGACATGACGTCAGGCGGGCCATGGGGAACGGTGACGTCATGCCCCCAGGGGGGTATTTAAAGGGGGACCCGGGATGTAACCGGGGGTCGTCAGGGGTGTAGGAGTGGGGACTCGGGTAGTTGGTCCTCACAAGAGGGGCAGGGTGGAGAGCCGGGTTAGCCGGGGTGTAGGGATCCCAGTACCCTGTCCCCTGGGGAGTTATTGGCTAGGGGGTGTTGGTTCGGCGTAAGCCCTTAACAAACCTGGCGTGAGCCCCTAACAGCAACCTGCCTCGGAGTCGTGAATTGCGCCACAACACCTGCATTGTCGTATTGCACCACGTCCCGCGAAAACAAATCCTCCACACCAGTGAATCGGACAATGTACCCACTAATAGCCACGATGTAAATACACGTGGCGCTCCATCAGCGTGCGGCGTCGTTACTCTGTAGGGTTTTCGCGGATGTGGCTGCATTGCTCTGTCGTGAGTTTTTGGGTTGTTGTAATTATCATGATTCTGCTTGTTAAACCTGGTACGGTCTCACCGAGTCTCCAGATTATTTTTCGCAGTACCAACCGATTTCGCTGTGTGTAACCTCAAATGAGTAATTTTGCAGGTAATTGTTTAGCATAATGGATGTTAGGAGAATACCAGATGGAGTGTATGGAATATATATTTTTATCGCTATGGCAGTTTACTGGAAAACCCAGAGAATACCCATGCAGAACAGGGGGAGGGAGATATAAACATTCAACGCAGTAGAGCGTCTGAGTCAGGAATCAAATCCAGGTCCTTTTGGTTGTGATGGACGAGTCTTACCCACTGGAGGGCCACCCTGCCACGTGTTCCTTTGATGGCCCCCAGACATTTTGGGAACCAAACTATCCTTGCACACAACCCCCCAAATGAAGTTTGCAGTAAATCTTGGAATTTGCAATGAGAATATGTGGGGCCCAGCGGGGACGAGGGGGGGGGGGTTGGTGATTTGGGCCTTGATTAATCCAGCAGTGAATCGATCATGGCGACAACGACGACGGACTTACGAGAGGGACACTCGGCCCGGTGTGAGGGGCGTCATGTTCCCCTCGCCGCCCCCGAAGTCGGCGGCGGAGTACTGGATGTTGGTGTACTCCACTCCCTTCTTCTTGATCTTCTGCTGAGAAAGGTCGGCACGGTTACCAGGCAGCATAGAATCAATCATCGCGCGTGTAATGACGGTTTGGAGCTGCCTTCCTCGAGCCGTCTGTGCTGTCGGCTCCCTGGCCCCCCCCACTGCCCCGGCTCAAGATCTTCCTTTCCCCCCCCCTCCGCCTTTGACTGCCGCTTTCTCTCTATAACAAACACGTTCCTTCGGAGTGGGCAGGTAGGAACTTGGTTGGACAGCGCGGCGTTCGGGGGGGGGGGGCAGTTGGATGAGTGGGCATGTTGACCCTTCCCCCCCACCCTCCCCGACATCGTCAAACAATCGGTGGGGAATTCCAGATATGCACGACAGACAGACAGACACATAATCCCTGGTGGGCAGTGTGGAACCTGTTGTTCCTACCTGTATAAGTGTAGTGTATCATGTCGTGTATAGTGTAGTGTGTAGGTTAAACGTTGAGCTTTATAAGGGCACCACGGGGTGACCAGCCCCTCCCCACCCAGCTCCACCCCTCCCACCCCCCATCCAGCCCCACTGTTGTTCCTACCTGTATAAACACGCCAACTTATTATTCTGTACAGCCTCCTGAGATGCAGTCGCACGTTGCGACGTCATATAAAAAATTCACTTTTTTTTATTGTCTTGGATAAAAGTGATCCACTCGTCGAGCCGCGCGCACAAGAGTCAATTGTTTTAGAGCTCGTCCAAATTACACCCGCGATTTATTCAAATCGTACATACGGGCGGGCGGACGGAGGGCGTACGCCTACAAGAGAGACGGAACAAAACGAGAAAAGATCCCACTGAAGCCTGCGCAAGAAATAAAAAAAAAAGCCTGACGAGAAAAACCCCGGAGAGATTCTCAATTAAAATCCGGATCAACCCCCTGCGCCTCCCCCCCGCCCTCCGAGTCGTGGCAAGTTACAGCAATGACAGCGCGGATTATTTCGCTGCACGAGCTACTTGCCTGCTCCTCGGCTAGCCTCTTCTGCACCGTCTCGATGTACTGCTGCACCGCCATGTAGACAAACTTGTACTGCGCCTCCGTCTGCACCATGCCCGACCGCTGCGCCCGCACCATCTGGATGGTTTTGGGAATGTCGATGTCGCAATCGAGCCCTGGGCAGGGAAGGGAAATCGAGCAAAGAGACGTCGTTGAGAGGCCATGCACGTGTGGCAAAATCGCATCAGTGTTGTACTGCTTAGCACGGCTGGCTACGTACGGTGCGAAAAAAGTTCAACCTCATTTTCTTGGTTCTTTCGGTAAAGCCACGTAGAAGGCAAATAATTAAATAATAAGAATTTGACATAATAAAATAATTCTCACGACGTTTCGGCCACAACGCAAGCAGCCGCTGTCTTTCCGACAGACCTGTTCTTCACCTGAGGACGGCTGCTTGTGTTGTGGCCGAAACGTCGTGAGAATTATTTTATTATGTTTTATTTTTATTATTTTATTATTTCCCTTCTACGTGACCTTACGAAAGAACCAAGAAGATGAATCCCTGCAGTCACGAAAGCTTTAAATCGAAAAGTTCAACCTCCATATATTACATACATGCGTACCTTTGCCAGTCTCCACTACAACTCAGAGCCTTCTAAACGGGACTGCAATTAACACATCAACGTCTAGCACAGCGAATGCGTTTCACTGTTATAGAGATCTATTAAAGGGGCAGAAATTTACTTAACCCCAGAAGTTGACGCCACAAAAACAATCCTGATGTGTCGTGAACAGACCTCTTTATTCACACAAGGCACACAACTTGATCATCCTTCAAACATTGTTCGTCACATGCCACTTAGAAATGTGTTTTTTTTAGTGTGATAGCTAAAATAAGCCAAAGTTGTGCAAACAAAAATATTTACTTTGCAGTAGTTACTGATTTGGCTGAGGCAATCAACACACTACATACTTGAAAACCAGATTTTTTTTATTCATTATAAAAACGGTATTCATCAGGTAAAGCCCACCGAGCATATTAGCTCTTTTTCACAGGTGAGCTGGCCACATGTCGTAGTGGATCATATCGCCATCACACGTGGGGCTTTACAGTGGCGGCCAAACAATCTCAACACATCACGTTTATAAATGCGGAGGCCGAATTGGAGGAACCCGGAGAACAATCCACTTGACCACCACGGGGAGAGAAAGAACACACAGACTCCAAATATCTAACCTATATAATTCATTTTTTGTCTGTCTGTCTGTCTATCTGTCTGTCTGTCTGTCTGTTTGTCCGTCTGCGTACGCTCTCTTCCGGGGGATTTAGCTCTCGGACCGTGGGGTTCGCCGAGATTAAATTTTGCAGGTGGGCACGTCCCCGGCCCGCGGTAAACTTAGGCATTTTCGATTTTTCGTCTCTAAACTTTAAATCGGACCGATTATCGATTTAGTGCGATTGCTCTTTATTTAGTTATATAATTATTTATTTATTTAATATTGCCGGCCGGCGCGGACCACGGCGGTTGCCCCTGGCAACGGGTAGCAACAACTTCGCTGCGGGGTGGACGCCATTTTGAATTCCCGTTACAAATATGCGCACGCATTAATACGCGATTCTGAGGTAAATTCATCAAAGTTTCACGTCCTCTTCACTCCCCTTCCAACCCAATGTGTGCAATTACTATTATAGGGTCGGTAGATAATAAAATTATAGCGATTAGACAGTATTATTGTACATACACTCCACTCTCACACTCTCAGACTCACCCACATACACTCACTCTCACACACACACATACACTCACACTCACACACAAACTCACTCTCACACTCACACACACAGACTCACTCTAACACTCAGACTCACACACACAGACTCACTCTAACACTCAGACTCACACATACACTCGCTCTCACACTTTCAGACTCGCACACACTCGCGGCGTTGCTCCGTGTTCGGTGGGGCGGGGGATGTCACGAGTGGGCGTGTTTACCTTCCCCCCACCCTCCCCGATATCTTCAAACAATCGCGGAGATTCTTATTCCCGTCGAAAAGCTACGAGGTTAGTCACGCAACTTCACAGCTCAGTTAAAACATTTAAATATTTATGTTTACTATTTTGTATCACTCTTATATATTAAAAGATGTTAGGGATTAAGTTATGTTTGATGATAGTAAATATACACTATGCACCACGATTTTTCCCTGGGTAAAAAGTGTTATTTTTATATTGCTTAAGCCTCCTAAGTATATAAGATGGCTATTATTCCCCATACATGTTGCTTTTGTGACCAGAACTTTATATAAAGGAAAGAATTACACAAATGCACAGGTTTTTCCTAGCAAAATAGCTCCATTTGTAAATATCACTGTCCGTGTCAAAAAAAATTAAGTTTGAGGGGAATTTTCTCCCATTTGTAACTTTTGAGATGTCAGCGTATAGAAAATAACACTTACTACCCAGGGACTAACACATGTGTCGTTTTTGGTAAAAAAATGTTCTTTGAATCGCGCAAAGGAATCATCGAAGGTTGTAGATTCCTTTAGGATCGCCCTTAACATTTCCGACACACATTCACACATTTAGCTTTTACATTTAACATACAAAACGTCAGCATGTACTGCTGTCATCATAGGCAAAAAATGTATACACCCTCAACCCTCTCCCTCACCACTCTCCCTCACTCATCATCACCACTCACCCTCTCCACTCACTATCACTCACTATCACTCACCACTCACTATCACTGACCACTCACCATTCACCCTCACCACTTACCCTCACAATTCACCCTCACCACTATTCCTCACTACTTACCCTCACCACTCTCCCTCACCAATCACCAATCACCCTCAAGCATACTTGGCGACACGTAAGTAAGTTTGTAAAACGGGAATAGGGTGAGTGGTGGTGGTGAGGGTGAGTGTTGAGGGTGAGTGGTTAGGGTGAGTAGTGAGGGTGAGTGGTGAGCGTGAGTGGTGAGGGATAGTGGTGAGGGAGAGTGGTGAGGGAGAGTGGTGAGGGAGAGTAGTGAGTGGTGAGGGTGAGTGGTAAGTGGTGAGGGTGAGTGGTAATTGGTGAGGGTGAGTGGTGAGGGTGAGTGTTGAGGGTGAGTGGCGGTTGTTAGTGGTGATTAGTGAGGGGTGAGTGGTGAGGGTGAGCGTGAGTGGTGAGGGTGAGGTTGAGTGGTGAGCAGTGAGGGTGAGTGGTGATTGGTGAGGGTGTGATTGGTGAGGATGAGTGGTGAGGGTGAGTAGTGAGGGTGAGTGGTTGTTGTGAGGGTGAGTGGTTGTTGTGAGGGTGAGTGGTGAGGGTGAGTGGTAAGAGTGAGTGGTGAGGGTGAGTGACGGTTGTGAGAGGTGATTAGTAAGTGGTGAGGGTGAGTGGTGAGGGTTAGTGGTGAGCATGAGTGGTGAGGGTGAGTGTTGAGCGTGAGTGGTGAGGGTGAGTGGTGATTGTTGAGGGTGTGATTGGTGAGGATGAGTGGTGAGTAGTGAGGGTGAGTGGTGAGGGTGAGTGGTGAGTGGTGAGGGTGAGTGGTGGTTGTGAGTGGTGATTAGTGAGGGGTGAGTGGTGAGGGTGAGCGTGAGTGGTGAGGGTGAGTGGTGAGGGTGAGCGGTGAGGGTGAGCAGTGAGGGTGAGTGGTGATTGGTGAGGGTGTGATTGGTGAGGATGAGTGGTGAGTGGTCAGGGTGAGTGGTGAGGGTGAGTGGTGAGGGTGAGTGGTGAGTGGTTAGGGTGAGTAGTGAAGGTGAGTGGTGAGCGTGAGTGGTGAGTGGTGAGCGTGACTGGTGAGGGTGAGTGGTGAGGGAGAGTGGTGAGGGAGAGTGGTGAGGGAGAGTGGTGAGGGAGAGTGGTGAGGGTGAGTAGTGAGTGGTGAGGGTGAGTGGTAAGTGGTGAGGGTGAGTGGTGATTGGTGAGGGTGAGTGGTGAGGGTGAGTGGGGAGGGTGAGTGGCGGTTGTTAGTGGTGATAAGTGAGGGGTGAGTGGTGAGGGTGAGCGTGAGTGGTGAGCAGTGAGGGTGACTGGTGATTGGTGAGGGTGTGATTGGTGAGGATGAGTGGTGAGTGGTCAGGGTGAGTGGTGAGGGTGAGCGGTGAGGGTGAGTGTTGAGGGTGAGTGGTGAGCGGTGAGGGTGAGCGTTGAGGGTGAGTAGTGAGGGTGAGTGGTGAGCGTGACTGGTGAGTGGTGAGGGTGAGTGGTGTGGGAGAGTGGTGAGGGAGAGTGGTGAGGGAAAGTGGTGATGGTGAATGGTGAGGGTGAGTGGTGAGGGTGAATGGTGAGGGTGAGTGGGGAGGGTGAGTGGTGAGGGTGAGTGGGGAGGGTGAGTGGCAGTTGTGAGTGGTGATTAGTGAGGGGTGAGTGGTGAGGATGAGCGTGAGTGGTGAGGGTGAGGTTGAGTGGTGATTGGTGAGGGTGCGATTGGTGAGGATGAGTAGTGAGGGTGAGTGGTTGTTGTGAGGGTGAGTGGTGAGGGTGAGTGATGAGGGTGAGAGGTAAGAGTGAGTGGTGAGGGTGAGTGACGGTTGTGAGAGGTGATTAGTGAGTGGTGAGGGTTAGTGGTGAGCATGAGTGGTGAGGGTGAGTGTTGAGCGTGAGTGGTGAGGGTGAGTGGTGATTGTTGAGGGTGTGATTGGTGAGGATGAGTGGTGAGTAGTGAGGGTGAGTGGTGAGGGTGAGTGGCGGTTGTGAGTGGTGATTAGTGAGGGGTGAGTGGTGAGGGTGAGCGTGAGTGGTGAGTGGTGAGGGTGAGTGGTGAGGGTGAGCAATGAGGGTGAGCAGTGAGGGTGAGTGGTGATTGGTGAGGGTGTGATTGGTGAGGATGAGTGGTGAGTGGTCAGGGTGAGTGGTGAGGGTGAGTGGTGAGGGTGAGTGGTGAGAGGTGAGGGTGAGTGTTGAGGGTGAGTGGTGAGTAGTGAGGGTGAGTGGTGATTGGTGAGGGTGTGATTGGTGAGGATGAGTGGTGAGTGGTGAGGGTGAGTAGTGAGTGCCGAGCGGTGAGGGTGAGTGGTTGTTGTGAGGGTGAGTGGTGAGAGTGAGTGGTGAGGGTGAGTGGTGAGGGTGAGTGGTGATTGTTGAGGGTGTGATTGGTGAGGATGAGTGGTGAGTAATGAGGGTGAGTGGTGAGGGTGAGTGGTGAGGGTGAGTGTTGAGGGTGAGTGGTGAGGGTGAGTGGCGGTTATGAGTGGTGATTAGTGAGGGGTGAGTGGTGAGGGTGAGCGTGAGTGGTGAGGGTGAGCAGTGCGGGTGAGTGGTGAGGGTGAGTGGCGGATGTGAGTGGTGATGGGTGAGTGGTGAGCGGTGAGGGGTGAGTGGTGAGGGTGAGTGGTGAGGGTGAGTGGTGAGGGTGAGTGCTGAGTGGTGAGGGTGAGTGGTGAGAGAGTGGTTAGTTTTGAGGGTGAGTGGTGAGGTTGAGTGGTGAGGGTTAGTGGAGAGTGGTGAGTGATGATTGGTCAGTGGTGATTGGTGAGGATGAATGGTGAGTAGTGAGGGTGAAGTTGAGTGGTGCGGGTGAGTGGTGGTTGTGACGGTGAGTCGTGAGGGTGAGTGGTGAGGGTGAGTGGTGAGGCTGAATGGTGAGGGTGAATGGTGAGAGTGAGTGGTGAGTGGTGAGGGAGAGTGGTGAGTGAGAGTGGTGAGGGTTAGTGGTGAGAGTGAGTGGTGAGGGTGAGTGGTGATTGGTGAGTGGTGAGGGTGAGTGGTGAGGGTGAGTGGTGAGGGAGATTGGTGAGGGAGGTTGGTGAGTGGTGAGTTGTGAGGGTGAATGGTGAACAGTGAGTGGGAGTGGTGAGTGGTGAGGATGAGTGGTAAGGGTGAGTTGTGAGTGGTGAATGGTGAGGGTGAATGATGAGTACAGTCAATATGCACTGCTGTTATCATACCAGGTACCACCACCACAATATGTACTCCTCTCATCATCGCAGATACCACCACAGCAGTATGCACTGCTGTAATCATAGCAGGTACCAACACAGCAGTATGCACTGCTGTAATCATAGCAGGTACCAACACAGCAGTACACTGCTGTAGTGATAGCAGGTACGACCTCAGTCGGTATACACTGCTGTAGTGATAGTAGATACTGCTATCGAGTTGGTAGATACCGCTATAGTAAATACTAAAACAGTCAGTATATACCACTACAGTCAGTCAATACTGCTACAGTCAGTATATACTACTATACAGTCAGTACATACTGCTACGGTGAGTTGCTACTAGAGTCAGTAGATACTATTATAGAGTGAGTAGATACTGCTATAGATTTTGTAGTCACTACTATAGTCAGTGGATACAACTATAGAGTCAGCAGATACTATACAGTTAGTCGTTACGAGTATATAGTCGGTAGATACTACTGTAGGCCCAGTAAATACTACTATGGTCAGTAGTTATTACAGTCACTAAATACTACTACACAGTCAGTAGCTACTACTGGCTCAGTAGATACTACGGTACAGTCAGTAGATACTACTACAGAGTCAATAGATACCACTTCCTCTGTTGTATGTAAGGTGTTGTTAGTATATATACCTACGAGGGGTAAAGATATTTTTTGAGGGGGGGGGGGAGACCACAATTTTCAGAAACATTTTGACATCAACTATTTACCCCACACTTTCTACAACTTTTTGGACTTGTGAAAGCCTCTTATATATTTGTTGGTGGAGAAATGTACAAACAGCCCACCGGGCTTTGACAATACCTTAGTATCTGTGTATATATATGTAAGGTTTTTAAGAAATATATTTTTCACCCGGGCAAAGCCGGGTACTTCCGCTAGTACATAATAAAAGTTTCGATTTAAAGCTTTTGTGGCTGCAGGGATTCATCTTCTTGGTTCTTTCGGTAAAGTCACGTAGAATGGAAATAATAAAATAATAAAAATAAAACATTATAAAATATAAAATAATAACAAATAAAATAAAAAACACAATTAAATATTTTATTATATTACATTTTTATTATTTCCATTCTACGTGACTTTACCGAAAGAACCAAGAAGATAATAAAAGTTGTTTTAGGTTAGATCGCGCAAGTATAAATGTGTCGTAATCCTCCACCACCTGACACAGCCAGTAAGGTTTGTCACGTAAACAGCCCACCAGTGTGTTAGAGAGTAAATCCACAACATTTACAATACGATATTTCGCTGGCAATTACATCCAGCATCATCGTGCAATTTGCCAGAATAGTGAAGCCATCCACCTGCTTCCGGTCTTAAATAGAGCAGGACAACGTCATAACTGAACCCCATCAGAGATCAGAGGCGGGGTGGGGGTTATTGTAATTATATGATAGATTAGTAATCAGTTAATCAGCATGTGTTTCCTCTGCAAGGAATTATAGTTGTAAGATGTATTACTTAAATATACAACAGGCATCTGCGGGGTCTGGGACCGAACCCAGGATCTTAGCAGTGCCGGCCTAGCGCGACTGACCCCTTTTATAAGCCACTCGAGCCAAGCTCAGGTAAACTAACGAGATATTTTTGTTCAGTGGTGCTGGTTTAAATGCAATAGATCACACGGCTCTCTCGTGAGAAGGCACGATGTCGAATGGGGTGCCGGCAGAGCAGGCCACGACGTCGCGGCGTGCGCACCTTTCTGGCGGATGATGTCGATGAGGATGTCGATGACGATGAAAGTGCCCGTTCTGCCAATCCCGGCGCTACAATACAAGTGCAGAAGTTAAACGGCGAACACCGTGAATTTGAACGTTTACTCGAAGATGTGTTTTGCGCGTGCGTCACACGCGGAAACAAATCAAAAAGGGCTTTGCCCATTTCTGGCGATGAAACAGGAAGTGTTAAGATGTTCAAACACCAAATACAGAATTGTGGCAAAACATGTAAACAAATATGCTCCCTGGGTTACGAAAGGGTTAGGGGTTCTAGAGAACAATCCATAACCAGAATTTTCTGTACGTCGGAAACTGAACAATTTTTCCCCAAAATCGATGATAAAATCCCTTAGCGGGAAATAGTTGTACCTCCCCTACCCTTTTCTCTCAGTGCTGTATCGTGCTGACGTACATTTTTCTATCACTACCCGTATCGTATCGCTGTACATACGCTCTGCACTTCCGATGATTCTTTCATTTCATTGAATATCCACCCTAACACTACCCATTATGAAACTAATGGAACATACTGTATCCAATTGTTTGATTTAATATTTATTTTAACAGAAAGCAGTCACTTCAAATGTTTACCGTGCATTCGGCTAGGCCTAGACTTTACGTACACACATACACACGAACAAAGGTGGACTAGGCTCGTGGACACACATAGACACGCACACACACACACAGATACACACAGTACATACAGTAAACAACTCATGAAACAAACTTAAAATGAAGAAAACTAGCGATAGAAACATGGGTAAAATAGATAGTTCTAAGCATAGAAAAGAAACAATTAAGTAATGCTACAAAAGGAAAATAATTATGTAACGCAAAAAAAATCCATTTCCCTTAATCCTAGTGAAGCTCGGGCTCAGTGAAGGCGGCGCTCTGTGGTATTCATCCGCGATGCATGATTTACGCTTGCGTAACTAACGCAAGCATTTCCGCATGCAGATTTTTTAATATATGATTTATGGGACAATATCCCTTAAGTCGGATTTCCCTAAGTAGGGTCCTTCCATAACCCGGGGACTGCCTGTATATGCATTGTCTTATGAACGCAAAATACTGAGACTCGGTCAGCCCTTTGTCAATTCACTGCTGTCAATCTGACCATTGCTTCATGATGCTGGTCAGTGTGTCGGTTAGAGGTAGGCCCAGGATGAGTTCAGATATCATACTCGTCACCGACGTTAGCCATGGCTGAGATTCAATCTCAAGCTACCCGATTCACAGTGCAGTGTGCTAACCACTGCTCCATTTCTACATCCATGAATAACTTAACATTATCTTTTATTTATGATGAAACTTCTTTTGAAAATGTTAAGCTTCATAATGACGATTATTAGAATTTACATCATAAACATACATTGACTCTCCAAACCGGCCGAACTGTCACCAGGCCTGCTACAGAAGTCACACACGCACACGCGCGTGTGCGCAGGCACCTGCAGTGGACGACTATGGGCCCCTCCTCGGAGATGCCCTCCTGGCGGCGGTTGACCTCGTCGAGGAAGCTGAGGACCCCTCCTGGCTCGTTGGGGACCCCGTGGTCGGGCCACGCCTTGAAGTGGTACTGCCACACGACGCGCGTGTCATCCAGCTGCGGAGTGGAGTGGCCCAGACACACGTGCGGCGGAAAGAGACTGTGAGGACCAAATCTCAGCAAACGAGCGGAATGGACGGACACGTGTCAGCGCAAGATACAGAGGCCCTGCAACACCTCAGACAAATTATCGCGATCACTCAAGTACGGCTGCTGCTGCAACTTATCACTTGTATGCATGTATGTTGAACTTCGTTCGCACCATACGTAGCCAACCGTGCTAATCGGAGGTGCGGGGAAGGACAAACTAAACACAAAAAGCAGTTATAAAGAAATGAGTTTTCAATCTAGATCATTTATTGCGAGGCGTATGAGACACGAATAGAATTGGCTGCGTGAAATACGTTATTTTCGATTCTGAGTATGTTGTATCAGAGAGGTACAACGCAGCAAATAGGGCATTGAAAGTAATTGATAGTCATTGAAAGAAACAAAGAGTAATTCCTGCGGTCATGAAAGCTTCAAATCTAGTTTATACCACCTCTATGGGGAGGATTTGCCTGCTTGTTTGTTTCACACTTAACTTCGAATTTAGCAATCTTTGGAAGGACGTAATCAACCAGGTGGGGTGTTGACTGTTGTGTTGGCTGACTCTGTGTTGTATTGCATTATATTTCTAAGTTTACTATGTTTATTTTCTCATTCATTTGTACCTGATGATGGTTGCTTGTGTTGCAATCGAAACAGCGTATTGTATTATTATTTAATTTCTTTCTATGCGACTTTACCGAAAGAACCAAAGAGTAATTGATACGCGATGGACAATCTCACGGAATTAGCGATTACAGTCGTAACATCAGTACGGGTGAAACCCGAAGATTGAAACCTTCAAAAAGTACAATCGCGAAGAAGCCGTAAGAAGGGGAACAATAACATAAAAAAACGATGAAACCTGAAAATGAATTCCAGAACGTAAAACCTTGGAGTGGCCAAAACACAGTCGAGTGCAGAATGCTGAAATCAGCGAGGCGACGTGCCGGTGACCCGACCGCTCGCCCACCCACCCCCAACGCCACCCCGGCCCCCTCCCACTCACGTGCTCGACGTGTGTGAGCTCCAGCTGGCGCAGCACGTGGTCGTGCAGCGAGAGCTCGCGCACGTTGTACACGCGCAGGTAGCCGTAGTCCTTGGTGCAGCTCTCCTCCGGCCAGTAGCGCACGCACTTGTTCTGCAACCACGCGAGTGTTCATGTCAGAGACATGGTGAGAGGAGACTGGTGGGGAGGGGGGGGAGACTGGCCGGGAGGGGGGGAGAGACTGGCCGAGAGGCGGGGGGAGACTGGTGGGGAGGGGGGGGAGACTGGCCGGGAGGGGGGGGAGACTGGTGGGGAGGGGGAGGAAGACTGGCTGGGAGGGGGGGGAGACTGGTGGGAGGGGGAGGGAGACTGGCTGGGAGGGGGGGAGACTGGTGGGGAGGGGGGGGGAGACTGGTGGGGAGGGGGGAGACTGGTGGGGAGGGGGGGAGAGACTGGCCGGGAGGGGGGGAGAGACTGGCCGGGAGGGGGGGGGCGACTGGTGGGGAGGGGGGGGGAGACTGGTGGGGAGGGGGGGGGAGACTGGTGGGGAGGGGGGGAGAGACTGGTGGGGAGGGGGGGGGAGACTGGCTGGGAGGGGGGGAGAAGACTGGTGGGGAGGGGGGGAGAGACTGGGCCGGGAGGGAGGGGGAGACTGGTGGGGAGTGGGGAGAGACTGGGGGGGAGGGGGGGAGAGACTGGTGGGGAGGGGGGGGGAGACTGGCCGGGAGGGGGGGGGAGACTGGTGGGGGAGGGGGGAGAGACTGGCCGGGAGGGAGGGGGAGACTGGTGGGGAGGGGGGAGAGACTGTTGGGGAGGGGGGGGGGGACTGGTGGGAGGGGGGGGAGACTGGCCGGGAGGGAGGGGGAGGACTGGTGGGGAGGGGGGAGAGGACTGGTGGGGGAGAGGGGGAGAGACTGGCCGGGGGAGGGGGGGAGACTGGTGGGGAGGGGGGGGAGAGACTGGTGGGAAGGGGGGGGAGAGATGGCCGGGAGGGAGGGGGAGACTGGGTGGGGAGGGGGGGGAGACTGGTGGGGAGGGGGGGGAGGACTGGTGGGGAGGGGGGGAGAGACTGGCCGGGAGGGAGGGGAGACTGGTGGGGAGGGGGGGGAGACTGGTGGGGAGGGGGGGGGGAGACTGGTGGGGAGGGGGGAGACTGGTGGGAGGGGGGGGGGAGACTGGTGGGGAGGGGGGGGGAGACTGGTGGGGAGGGGGGGAGACTGGTGGGGAGAGGGGGGAGAGACTGGTGGGGAGGGGGGGGGAGGACTGGTGGGGAGGGGGGGAGAGACTGGTGGGGAGGGGGGGGGAGACTGGTGGGGAGGGGGGGAGACTGGTGGGGAGGGGGGGGAGAGACTGGTGGGGAGGGGGGGGAGAATGGTGGGAGGGGGGGAGACTGGTGGGGAGGGGGGGAGGGACTGGTGGGGAGGGGGGGGGAGACTGGTGGGGAGGGGGGGAGAGACTGGTGGGGAGGGGGGGGGGAGAGCTGGTGGGGAAGGGGGGAGAGACTGGTGGGGAGGGGGGGGAGACTGGTGGGAGGGGGGGAGAGACTGGTGGGGAGGGGGGGGGGGGGAGGGGAGACTGGTGGGGAGGGAGGGGGAGACTGGTGGGGAGGGGGGGAGAGACTGGCCGGGAGGGGGGGGGAGACTGGTGGGGAGGGGGGAGGACTGGTGGGGAGGGGGGGAGGAGACTGGTGGGAGGGGGGGGAGACTGGTGGGGAGGGGGGGAGAGACTGGTGGGGAGGGGGGGAGAGACTGGTGGGGAGGGGGGGAGAGACTGGCCGAGAGGGGGGGGGGAGACTGGTGGGGAGGGGGGGGGAGAAACTGGTGGGGAGGGGGGAGAGACTGGTGGGGAGGGGGGGAGAGGACTGGCCGGGAGGGGGGGGGAGACTGGTGGGGAGGGGGGGAGAGCACTGGTGGGGAGGGATGGGGGGAGACTGGCCGGGAGGTGCGGGGGAGACCTGGCCGGGAGGGGGGGAAGGGAGGGAGACTGGTGGGGAGGGGGGGAGGACTGGTGGGAAGGGGGGGGGAGAGACTTGGTGGGAGGGGGGGAGACTGGCCGGGAGGGGGGAGGAGACTGGTGGGGAGGGGGGGGAGACTGGTGGGGAGGTGGGGGGACGATGAGACTGGTGGGAGGGGGGGGAGACTGGTGGGGACGGGGGGAGGCGAGACTGGTGGGGACGGGGGGAGAGACTGGTGGGGAGGTGGGGGGGGAGAAAGGGGGGGTAGAGACTGTGGGGAGGGGGGGAGAGACTGTGGGGAGGGGGGGAAGAGACTGGTGGGAGGGGGGGGAAGGATATGGTGGGGGATTGGGTGGAGGAGGACCTGGTGGGGAGGGGGGGTTTTTCATGACTGGTGGGGGAGGGGGGGAGGATGACTGGTGGGGAGGGGGGGAGAGACTGGTGGGAGAAGAGAAGGGGAGACCTGGTGGGGACGAGGGGGGAGAGCAGGGAGGACTGGCAGGGGGGGGGGGGGAGGACTGGTTGGGAGGGGGGGAGACTGGTGGGGAGGGGGGGGGAGAATGGTGGGGAGGGGGGGGAGACTGGTGGGGGAAGGGGGGGAGACTGGTGGGTGAGGGGGGGAGAGACTGGTGGGGAGGGGGGGAGAGACTGGTGGGGAGGGGGGGGAGAGACTGGTGGGGAGGGGGGGAGAGACTGGTGGGGAGGGGGGGGGAGACTGGTGGGGAGGGGGGGGAGACTGGTGGGAGGGGGGGGAGACTGGTGGGGAGGGGGGGGAGACTGTGGGGGGGGGGGGAGAGACTGGTGGGGAGAAGGGGGAGACTGGTGGGGAGGGGGGGAGAGACTGGCCGGGAGGGCGGGGGGAGACTGGTGGGGAGGGGGGGGGGGGAGCCTGGTGGGAGGGGGGGGAGAGACTGGTGGGGAGGGAGGGGGAGGACTGGTGGGGAGGGGGGTGGAGACTGGTGGGGAGGGGGGGAGAGACTGGCCGGGAGGAGGGGGAGACTGGTGGGGAGAAGGGGAGACTGGTGGGGAAGGGGGGAGAGGACTGGTGGGGAGGGAGGGGGAGACTGGTGGGGAGGGGGGGGGAGACTGGTGGGGAAGGGGGGGAGACTGGTGGGGAGGGGGGAGAGACTGGTGGGGAGGGGGGGAGACTGGTGGGGAGGGGGGGGGAGACTGGTGGGGAGGGGGGGAGAGACTGGTGGGGAGGGGAGGGAGACTGGTGGGGAGGGGGGGAGGAGACTGGTGGGGAGGGGGGGAGAGACTGGTGGGGAGGGGGGGAGAGACTGGCCGGGAGGGGGGGGGGAGACTGGTGGGGAGGGGGGGAGAGGACTGGTGGGGAGGGAGGGGGAGACTGGTGGGGAGGGGGGGAGAGACTGGTGGGGAGGGAGGGGGAGACTGGTGGGGAGGGGGGGAGAGACTGGTGGGGAGGGGGGGGGAGACTGGTGGGGAGGGGGGGGAGACTGGTGGGGAGGGGGGAGGGAGACTGGTGGGGAGGAGGGGAGAGACTGGCCGGGAGCGGGGGGGGGGAGGAATGGTGGGGAGGGGGGGGAGACTGGTGGGGAGGGGGGGGGGAAGAGACTGGCTGGGAGGGGGGGGGGAGACTGGTGGGGAGGGGGGGAGAGACTGGTGGGGAGGGGGGGGAGAGACTGGCTGGGAGGGGGGGGAGACTGGTGGGGAGGGGGGAGAGAGACTGGTGGGGAGGGGGGGAGGGAGAGACTGGCCGGGAGGGGAAGGAGACTGGTGGGGAGGGGGAGGGAGACTGGTGGGGAGGGGGGGAGAGACTGGCCGGGAGGGGGGGGGGGGGGAGAATGGTGGGGAGGGGGGGGAGACTGGTGGGGAGGGGGGGAGGAGACTGGCCGGGAGGGGAGGGAGAGACTGGTGGGGAGGGGGGGGAGACTGGTGGGGAGGGGGGAGGGGAGGACTGGTGGGGAGGGGGGGAGAGACTGGTGGGGAGGGGGAGGGAGACTGGTGGGGAGGGGGGGGAGACTGGTGGGGAGGGGGGGGAGACTGGTGGGGAGGGGGGGAGAGACTGGTGGGGAGGGGGGGGAGACTGGCCGGGAGGGGGGGGGAGACTGGCCGGGGAGGGGGGGGGGGAGACTGGTGGGGAGGGGGGAGAGAGAGACTGGTGGGGAGGGGGGGGAGAATGGTGGGGAGGGGGGGGAGAGACTGGTGGGGAGGGGGGGAGAGACTGGTGGGGAGGGGGGGGGGAGACTGTTGGGGAGGGGGGGGGAGACTGGTGGGGAGGGGGGGGAGACTGGTGGGGAGGGGGGGAGAGGACTGGTGGGGAGGGGGGGGGAGAGACTGGTGGGGAGGGGGGGTAGAGACTGGTGGGGAGGGGGGGGGAGACTGGTGGGGAGGGGGGGGAGACTGGTGGGGTGGGGGGGAGGAGACTGGCCGGGAGGGGGGGGGGGAGACTGGCCGGGAGGGGGGAGAGACTGGCCGGGAGGGGGGGGGGAGGACTGGTGGGGAGGGGGAGGGAGACTGGTGGGGAGGGGGAGGGAGAGACTGGCTGGGAGGGGGGGAGAGACTGGTGGGGAGGGGGAGGGAGACTGGCCGGGAGGGGGGGGGAGACTGGTGGGGAGGGGGGGGGAGACTGGTGGGGAGGGGGGGGAGACTGGTGGGGAGGGGGGGAGAGACTGGTGGGGAGGGGGGGAGAGACTGGCCGGGACGGGGGGGGAGACTGGTGGGGAGGGGGGGGAGACTGGTGGGGAGGGGGGGGAGAGACTGGTGGGGAGGGGGGGGAGACTGGCCGGGAGGGGGGGGGGAGACTGGTGGGGAGGGGGGGGAGGACTGGTGGGGAGGGGGGGGAGAGAGACTGGTGGGGAGGGGGGGGGGAGACTGGCCGGGAGGGGGGGGGAGACTGGTGGGGAGGGGGGGGGGAGACTGGTGGGGAGGGGGGGGGAGACTGGTGGGGAGGGGGGGAGAGACTGGTGGGGAGGGGGGGGGAGACTGGCCGGGAGGGGGGGGAGACTGGTGGGGAGGGGGGGAGACTGGTGGGGAGGGGGGGATGAGACTGGTGGGGAGGGGGGGGAGACTGGCCGGGAGGGGGGGGGAGACTGGTGGGAGGGGGGGGGAGACTGGTGGGGAGGGGGGGAGAGACTGGTGGGGAGGGGGGGGGAGACTGGTGGGGAGGGGGGGGGGAGACTGGTGGGGAGGGGGGGGGAGACTGGCCGGGAGGGGGGGAGAGACTGGTGGGGAGGGG